CGATGACGACGACGACGACGACGACGAGAACACCACCAACTGTCGTCAGAAACGCTTCGACAAGGACCTGAACGAGTCTGCTGGATCACCCCGATCCTAGACCAGATCGGCAAGCGGATCAAGACCGAGCTGACCCCGATCCAACGCGACATCGATTCGATCAAACAGCACGGGCTCTCTCGGCAGAACTAGCACAACGCCGCTGGACCTATCAAGACGGAGATTGGAGACATGAAAGTTCGACTGGAACTCTTGGAGTCGAATTACTCACGAACACCATAAGCACGTTCAGATGCGAACACCTCGGACACTTCAGGGCTGGAAACAAAAGTACAGCACCTTGCACAACAAGTGAAATAATGGGTTATACACCAGGTGAACGTGCAAGCGCTGGTGGACATAATCCCAAACGGAGCCTCACTGCAGTTATTGGCAAGTGTATTGGCTTCGCGTCTGGCGATGCCGCGGTTGCATGGTTTTCCGATCAACTTTGTGAGCTCAACGCACCAATCTTTATCCGTAAGGGCTTCGCCCCTTGCCGCCGGCCCCCTCTCTATCATGATGGGATATATCAGAGTTGCGTCGGTGCGTCTCGGCGCTGCCTTGGCGCATCTGGGAACATCATGCGGGGGCGGATAGGAATCATCAGCGCATATTGAGACGTTGGCGTTATCGAAGACGCCTACGGCGAATCACCGCCGCCCCCTGCCTTTTTGGAGACGCCGATGTGGCCGAAAGTTGGATTAGAGCTTGGCCAAGCTATCGGACCATGAGTTCCCCGAGTCGGTTTGGAAAGCTTTCGGGGAACACATGGGAGAGAATGATTATGAACAGGAAGAGGAAGAGGAAGAAATAGAGTAGGAGGATGAGGGTTGTTAGGAGTCTCTTGGGGCACCCTTGGGGTCTGTTGGGGGCTTCTTGGGGGCCTCTTCGAGGCCTCTTGGAGGCATCTTGGGGGCCTCCTTGGGCCTCTTGGGGGCCTTTGGGGGCTTCCTGGGGGTCTCTTTGGCCGTCTTAGGGCGTTCCTGGTCCGTCTGACGCCGTCTGGAGCCGTCTTGGGGGCCTCTCTGGGCCGTCTTGGGGCCCTCTTGGGGCGCTTCAGGGCCGTCTTGGAGGCCATGTTGGGCGTCTTGGAGGCCTCTTGGGCCGTCTTGGGGCGCTCTTGGGGCCGTCTTGGGGGGCCCTTGGGCCGTCATAGGGCCTTCTTGGAGGCCTCTTGGGCGATCTTGGGGGCCTCTTGGGCCGTCGGAAGGCCGAAAAGAAGAAAACGCAAAAAACCTTGAAAAACCTAAGGAAAACCAATGATTTTGGCCTCTTCGGGCTCTCCTGGAGAACGTCTTGGAGGCCTCTTGGGCCATCTTGGAGGCATCTTGGGGCCATCTTGGCCGTCTTGGAGGGCATCTTGGGCCGTCTTGGAGGCATCTTGGAGCCATCTTATCCGTCTTGGAGGCCATCTTGGCCGTCTTGGAGGCATCTTGGAGGCCATCTTGGGCCATCTTGGCCGTCTTGGAGGCCATCTTGGGCCAAGTTGGGGCAACAAAGGCATTGACAGATGGATTTTCGGAAACTTACGGGTGGCCGGCGGGACGGGCCGAAGCCCACTGGGGAGTCCGCCGCCCCCTGTGGTCTTGCCACAGGGGTGCACGGCGTGCTGGATGTTTCAGGTTTTGGTTTTGGTTCTTTTTCTAAAAGAACTCCCCAGTGGGCTTCGGCCCGTCCCGCCGGCCACCCGCAAGTTTCCGAAAATCCATCTGTCAATGCCTTTGTTGCCCCAACTTGGCCCAAGATGGCCTCCAAGACGGCCAAGATGGCCCAAGATGGCCTCCAAGATGCTTCCAAGACGGCCAAGATGGCCTCCAAGACGGGTAAGATGGCTCCAAGATGCACCCAAGACGGCCCAAGATGGCCTCAAGATGGTCTAAGACGGCCCAAAAGGCCCGCAAAAGGCCTCCAAGACGGCCCAAGAGCCCTCCAAGACGCCCTCCAGGAAGGCCCGAATAGGTTAAAATCATTGATTTTCCTTAGGTTTTTCAAGGATTTTGGCATGTTCTTCTTTTCAGCTCTCCGACGGCCCAAGACGGCCCAAGAGGTCCCCAACATCGCCCCAACAGCACCCAAGAGGCCTCCAAGATGGCCCCATGACGGCCCAAGAGGCCCCCAAGAAGGCCCCAAGAGGGCCTCAAGACGGCCCAAGAGGCCTCCAAGACGCCCAAGATGGCCTCCAAGACGGCCAAGATGGCCCAAGATGGCCTCCAAGATGCCTCCAAGACGGCCAAGATGGCCTCCAAGACGGGTAAGATGGCTCCAAGATGCACCCAAGACGGTCCAAGATGGCCTCAAGATGGTCTAAGACGGCCCAAAAGGCCGGCAAAAGGCCTCCAAGACGGCCCAAGAGCCCTCCAAGACGCCCTCCAGGAAGGCCCGAATAGGTTAAAATCATTGATTTTCCTAAGGTTTTTGAAGGATTTTGGCATGTTCTTCTTTTCAGCTCTCCGACGGCCCCAGACGGCCCATGAGGTCCCCAACATCGCCCCAACAGCACCCAAGAGGCCTCCAAGATGGCCCCATGACGGCCCAAGAGGCCCCCAAGAAGGCCCCAAGAGGGCCTCAAGACGGCCCAAGAGGCCTCCAAGACGCCCAAGATGGCCTCCAAGACGGCCAAGATGGCCCAAGATGGCCTCCAAGATGCCTCCAAGACGGCCAAAATGGCCTCCAAGACGGGTAAGATGGCTCCAAGATGCACCCAAGACGGCCCAAGATGGCCTCAAGATGGTCTAAGACGGCCCAAAAGGCCCGCAAAAGGCCTCCAAGACGGCCCAAGAGCCCTCCAAGACGCCCTCCAGGAAGGCCCGAATAGGTTAAAATCATTGATTTTCCTTAGGTTTTTGAAGGATTTTGGCATCCCCAGAGCGCCCCAGAACAGTCCAAGAGGCCTCCAAGAACGCTCCTAGACGGCACAAGAAAGCCCCAAAACTGCCCCAAAGACAGCCCCAAGACGGCCCGGCAGATCTCCCAAACGCCCACGCTGGCGTCCACTACGGCCACGATAAACCCAAGTGAGGCCACAGAGAGGCCCCCAACCCAGCCCAGACGGCGTCAGGCAGAACAGGAAGGCCGCAAGGCATCCAAAGAGGCCCCCAAGATGCTTCCAAGACCGCACATGTGGCCCAATATAAACCCAGAGTAGCCAAAAAGGCACTCAAGAGACCTCCTCCTCCATTCCCCCCCTTCCTATCTCTCCTCTCCTCCCCGTCCTCCCCCACGTGTTCCCCGAAGGCTGTAAAGACCGATTCGGGGAACATATGGCCCAATAACTTGGCAGACCTCTGGCCACAGCAGTCGGCCGCATCGGCGCTTCCGAAAGGGCAGGGGGCGGCGGTGATTCGCCGTAGGCGTCTTCGATTCTTTTAGAAAAAGAACCAAAACCAAAACCTGAAACGTCCAGCACGCCGTGCACCCCTGTGGCAAGACCACAGGGGGCGGCGGATCTTGGCCGTCTTGGAGGCCTCTTGGGCAAGCTTTGGGCGATCTTTGGGGCTTTTTGGGCCGTCTCGGGCCAGCTTCGAGCCAACTTCGGCCATCTTGGTGGGTTCCTGGCACGTCTGAAGCCGTCGGAAGCCGTTTGGGGGGCCTCTATGGGCCGACTTGGGGCCCGCTTGGAATGCTCCAGGGCCGTCTTGGAGGCCATCTTGGGCGTCTTGGAGGCCATCTTGGGCGTGTTGGAGGCCTCTTGGGCCCTCTTGGGGCCCTCTAGGGGCCATCTTGGAGGCCACTTGGGCCATCATGGGGCTCTCTTGGGGGCCTCTTGGGCGATCTTGGGGGCTTCTTGGGCCGTCTTGAGCCGTCGGAGAGCCGAAAAGGCGCAAATGCCAAAATCCTTCAAAAACCAAGGGAAAATCAATGATTTTGGCCTCTTCGGACTCTCCTGGAGGACCTCTTGGAGGCCTCTTGGGCCGTCTGGGAGGCCTCTGGGGGGCCTCTTGGGCCGTCTTGGGCCGTCTTGGACTCTCTTGGGCCGTTTTGGAGGCCGTCTTGGACCATCTCGGGCGGACTTGGAGGCCATCTTGGGCCATCTTCGCGATTTTTTGAGGATGTCCCGAGCGAAACGGCCGTTTTTGGGCATTGACAGATGGATTTTGGGAAATTTGCGGGTGGCCGGCGGGACGGGCCGAAGCCCCTTGGGGAGTTCTTTTAGAAAAAGAACCAAAACCAAAACCTGAATCATCCAGCACGCCGTGCACCCCTGCAAGCAGGGGGCGGCGGATCCTAGTGGTCGGCCCATCCCGCCACCGTGCCTGGGTTGTGGGTCTGAGGCTTCTTGTATATGTGTTGGGGTGTCGTGGGGAGCCTCTCGGGGGCCTCTTGGAGGCGATATGGGCGCCTCTTGGGGGCCTCTTGGGGCCTCGTGGGGTATCTTTTGGGCCTCTTGGAGGCCTCTTGGGCGCGTCTTGGGCGCCTCTTGGGGCCTCAAGGGGCCTCTTGGCGGCCTCTTGGGGCCTCCTGGGGGCTTCTTGGGGCTCCCCTGCTTGGGCCCCTGTTGGGGCCGTTTTGGGGCCCTCTTGAGCCGTCTTGAGCGCTTCTTGGGCCGTCTTGGAGCCCTCTTGGGCCGTCTTGGGGCCCTCTTGGAGGCGTCTTTGGCCGTCTTGGGGCGGTCTTGGGAGCTTCTTGGGCCGTCTTGGAGCGTCGGAAAGCCGAAAATTCGAAGAGGCCCACATCCTTCAAAAACCATTGTAATGTCTACAGTTTTGGCCTCTTGGGGCTCTCTCTGGAGGCCTCTTGGAGCGCTCTTGGGGCCTCTTTGGGCCCTCTTGGGCTGACTCGGAGCCATCTTCGGGCGCCTTGGAGCACTCTTGGCCTCGACAATGTAAATATGGAGTAATTTGCGAGTGTTTATGGCTTTGGGGATGCGAACATGGTGTCATTTACGAAGGTTTGTGGCCTCGGGGACGCGAATATTGTGTACTTTACTCGGGATTATGGCTTCGGGGACGCGAACCTCAAGTATTTTTACATGTCCCACGCCCCCCCGTGAATTCAGAGAACGCGATCCGGGCGTGGTAACCGGGCGGTTTGGGGTTCACCCCCCTTGCGCGGACTTCAACAGATTGCAATAGGAAGCAGAAAGCAGGACTCTAACATTGGAGACTTGCAACTGCAACTGGTGCAGGGTGCAGCAACTTCGTCCTACAGCCTGGTGGCCCCATAAGGGGGCCAGCGGATTTCAAGGGGGAGTTCCGCGACATGCCTTTTGCTCAGTTCAGCGATGAGAGCGACCGTGACTTAGCAGCTGTCGGAGTCCGGCTGGGAAGTGTTGAATGTCGCTTCGATGTCCCCCGTGATCTTAGAGTGCACCAGCGTCTATGCGACCATGGCTTCAATTTCCCCGCAGGCGATCGGAGGTCGTACATCGATTGAGTCTGGTCGGTTGACGACTTACTCGGACTTTCTCGGACTTTCTGTTCGGAGTGCGTCCACATGTACATGCAGCTATGCTTCGAAGAGCGTGTATCTCCGGTTTTTTTCTTCTCACCGCACGTCCGAAGCGAAGTTTGAGTGGACATACCCTGAGATCCACCTTCGAGGCCAGACGCTCGTGTACACTGTGAAGAACCCGAACCGGGAGTGGCTGTCTGGGCACGGAGATCGCAAGCGGTCCAGATTGTTGCGTTGGCCAGGAGCGCTGCCTATGCCATTCGGCGTGCTGGCGGGCACCCTCCGCAGCAGGCTCGTACGGGCACACCAACTCCAGGTTGGACAGGACATGTTGGCTGTCTTGCTCTTGGAATTTATCTCGGAGCTGCACTTGTTGGGCTACCCGGCAGCGGTCCTCTGGGCAGTGATCCGCAGTGCGCCGTGCGTGCCCGGTGCCCTTGCTGCTCGCAGCGTCGTGCGCCTATGGCTGCAGCAGCGGCGAGACGCACAATGAGGATCGGTATTGCCCCGTCCCCTTCCCCTTTCTCTTTCCTTCCGTAGTTTTTGGTTCGAGGAGAGCTCATTGCGGCCGGCACTCGACCTGTGCACGCGCGCTCACGCAGACCAGATGGGCGCCTCGCGGCCGCGCTCGGAGATCATGCCATACATATCGCAACCATCGATGTTGCTGCTGATGCTGATGCTGATGCTGATGCTGCTGCTGCTGATGATGATGATGATGATGATGATGATGATGATGATGGTGATGGTGATGGTGATGGTGATGGTGATGGTGGTGGTGATGGTGATGGTGATGGTGGTGGTTGTGATGATGATGGTGATGAGGATGAGGATGATGAGGATGACGATGATGATGATGGTGGTGGTGGTGGTGGTGGTGATGAGGATGAGGATGAGGATGAGGATGAGGATGAGGATGAGGATGAGGATGATGATGATGATGATGATGATGATGATGATGATGATGATGATGATGATGATGATGGTGGTGGTGGTGGTGATGATGGTGATGACGATGATGACGACGATGATGATGATGATGATGAGGAGGAGGAGGAGGAGGGGGAGGAGGAGGAGGAGGAGGAGGAGGAGGAGGAGGAGGAGGAGGCGGAGGGGCTCGGAACAGGGTGGATGAGGGAGGAACAGGAGCAACAGGAGGAGGACGCGGAGGGAAGAGGGAGGAGGATAGAATCGAGGGATGAAACACGATGACCATGACCGAGATATCACAGGATCCTGTCGGATCCGATTTTGGTTATGGTCCGTGCCGGCCGTCGCCGAATGGGGAGGGCGATCCGCGAGTTGACGGTGACCAAGAGCGACGATGACCAAGACCGACGCAGACGTTTCCTCGTTCAGTCTTGGTCGCCCTCGTTGTCTCTGAGGATGCGAGTGCCCTGCTGCCGCTGCTGCTCCTCCTCGCGTGCGCCGTTCTTGGCCACGCGCGAGAGGGAGACGTTTTGCTGGAGTGGCCTCTGGTGCAGGTCCACATGGGGTGGCCGAGGCGCTGGCCCGAGCACCCGAGTCTGGCCCCGCCGCGGCGCGTGAAAGTCGAGCACTAAAGGTCACTCCTGCCCAGGGTCGCTCCGGTGCGTTGGCGACGTTCCGCCTGAGCGGGCCTGGCTTCCCCCTCCCGCCTGCCTTCGCTGGGCGTTTCCCCTCTCTCGTCCGTGCATCGCGGCTTAATTCGTATTTGTACGTCCTAGTCATGCTCATCCGCCAGCGCAGTCACTCCGCCTAGCCGCCGACGCAAAAGTGTGTTGGCGACGTTTGGACGGGGCTATGACGAGGATCAATCCGTTGTAGAGCGTTCCGGAACGCTCCAGAGCGTTCGGGAACGCTCTGAGAAGGCCGCGGCGCCCGAGACAGCCTCCAGAGCCGCCAGATCTCAGAAATTTCTGATTTGTCCTCACCCGATTTTATCCTTGTCCTGGCTTCGTCTGACTCTTGTGCGTTGGCGACGTTCACCCTTCCCCCCGCGGATCTCTCCCTGCAGGTTCGGCGTTCGCCGGCGTGAACATGCTCGGGCGCGCCGTGGGCACCGGGGCATTCCACGCTGCCGTAGAGGCCAGGGGGCGGCGAGAGAGAAACGCGGACAGGGGGGCGGGGGAGGAATGGTGGGGAGAGGCGGGAGGAGTACGTGGAGCCATGCCAGAGGGTACGCTTCATGGAGTTCTTGCAGTTCTTCGCTGGCTACGCGACGCAGTTCAGCTGCGCTCTGCTGTGGACCGTGGTCGCAACCACACCAATGGTGTCTCCGAGGTGGCAATGTGGCTATCTGTTGGCCCACAGCGGCCAGAGAAGGATCATGGAGGACATGCGGATAAAGGCCACTATCCAGAGCAGCAAGTTCCCTGTGGCAGTGCAGGAGGTACTCACGTTCGTGCTGGAGCTGCTCCTGCACTGGGCCGAGCTGTCCCTGTACCCGCCCGTTCTGTTCCTCACCCTGGTGCTTCGGAGGCCGTTCTGTGTACTCCTCCACGAGAGGGCCATGACAAGGAAAGGGCACTCATCGTTATCTAGAGCCGTGGCTGAAGGGCATAGACAATGATAAACCCAAGACCTACCCGTATACGTTCCCGCTGCTAGTCTACGTCGTGCCGTTGCCATTTCCGAGTCTGCTGGCAGGGGCAAGGGCAAGGACCGAGCAGAACGTCGCCGGGCTCATGCTGAAACATTTCCTCCAAGAGGGGCGCGTCCAAAATCAATTCCGCATGGCCATGCTCGCCTCGAATGTTCTGCCGCCCTTCAGCAACGGCACGGGCAAGGGCAACGCCGAGCTGGCGGATGCACGGCGGGCGCGGATTGCTCTTGGCAGAATGCGGTTCGGACGCTGGTTCGGTGAACACATACGCCAAGAAGGTAGCGTGCCGAAGCGGTGAGTTTATCTTCGACAATGCCACCGTAGCTTGACATTATTCGTGATAATATGTAGAGAAGTCTTCACGTTTCGCGAATCCCCACCAATTGTTGGCTTTCCGACTTTCGGCGCCTCCGACGGACTTGCAGCTTTGCGCGCTGGCAGTTCCCCGCAGTTTCAGTTCCTTCAGCCATCCCCCTGCCGTTGGGCCGCTGCGTGAGGTCTCGGCCGGCGCGTAGCTGTTGCCTCGCGCGTCGCCTCTGCTTTAATTTTCTCGCGTTTCCTCTGCCTGATTAGTCTCTGCGTAGCCCGCTTTGACCTGACTCGCCGCCGGCGCGCTCGCCCGCGGCCGCTGACTAAAAAGTATCCCCACCAGCCTGGGCCGCCCTGTCGCTGCCTCCCCCCTGTCCCCCCGCCCGTGGTGGCGCTGCCGTCGCTTCCACGTCCCTCGCTCCGACACCTGTCGGTATTTGGCGATCCGGGACCTACTCCGTTGAGCGCCTGCATGTCTTTGTTCGACGTCCTCATCGGTTGCGTCACGGCCGTCATCTGCATCGGGGCCTTCTTCTCGGTGCTGGCGTTGCAGTGGACCTTGTCCGTGGTCGCCTTCGTCGAGCTCGTTGACAACATGAATTTCGCCATTTTGGTGTTGCACATCGACTGGTGGTTCTTCCTGGTCTACCGCGTCTCCTAAGCCGCAGCGTAGCTCGCCTCCAGTGTGCTCTTTCTTTGCTTCTTCTCTGCGTTGTTCCTCTTTCGTCTTCTGCCGTGGATTTCTGGCCGCTGCTCGTTAGCTGCGTTGCTTCGGACGGCGCCCGGCCTCCCGGGGCGCGATCAAGTCCCCGCCAAACCATTCAGAAGCCCTGCCCGTCAGAGCTGACGGGAACAGGGACGAAGAGACACGTCTAGGGAAACAAAGCGAGCAAGGGGGTGGCCTTGGAAGGATAACGAGGACGAGGAAGACTTCCGAGGACGAGGGGGAGAACGAGGACGCGGAAGATGATGACGAGGAGGAGGAGGAGGAGGAGGAGGAGGAGGAGGAGGAGGAGGAGGAGGAGGAGGAGGAGGAGGAGGAGGAGGAGGAGGGAGGAGGAAGAAGAAAAAGGGGAGGGGGAGGCTGACGAGGACGATGGCGAAGAGTAGGACGGGGACGAAATGCTGCTGATGGTGGTGCTCGTGCCGCTGCTGCTGGTGCTGCTGCTGTTGGGGTGCTGCTGCAGGGGTGGGGGCTCTGGAGGCCCTCTTGCGTTCATCTTCGGGGCCCGCGCGACGGGACAGAAGGAGGGAGGGAGGGCGAAAACGAGGACGAGGAGGACGTGGAAGGGGAGGAGGAGGAGGAAAAGGAACAGGAGGAGGAGGAGGAGGAGGAGGAGGAGGAGGAGGAGGAGGAGGAGGAGGAGGAGGAGGAGGAGGAGGAGGAGGAGGAGGAGGAGGAGGTGGAAGAGGAGGAGGAGGAGGAGGAGGAGGAGGAGGAGGAAGAGAAGGAGGAGGAGAAGGAGGAAGATGAGGACGAGGACGAAAACGAGGCGGAGGACGAGGATGACGAGGACGAGGACGAGGACGAACAAGGACGAGGAGGATAACGGGGACGCGGAAGAACATGAGAACGAAGAGGATGAGGAGGATCAGGAAGAGGCGGAGGAAAATGAGGGAAGTGAGGAGGCAGACGCGTACGAGAACGAACGTTAGGACGAAGACGGGATGTTGCTGCTGATGGTGGTGTTCGTGCCGTTGCTGGTGCTGGTGCTGCCGGTGCTGGTGCTGGTGGTGCTGCTGCTGGTTTTGCTGCTGCTGCTGCTGGTGCTGCTGCTGGTGCTGGTGGTGGCGGTGTTGCTGCTGTTATTGCTGCTGGTGGAGGTGGTGGTGCTGCTGGTGGTGCTGGTACTTGCGGTGGGTGCTGCTGCTTCTGGTGCTGCTGCTGCTGGTGCTGCTGGTGGCGCTGCTGCTGCTGATGTTGCTGCTGGTGGAGGTGGTGCTGCTGCTGTTGGCGCTGGTACTTCTGGTGGTGGTGGTGGTGCTGCTGCTGCTGTTGCTGCTGGTGCTGGTGCTGGTGCTGCTGCTGCTGCTGCTGGTGCTGCTGCTTGTGGTGCCGCTGCTGGATGTGCTGCTGGTGGCGCTGCTGGTGATGGTGGTGGTGGTGCTGCTGCTGCCGCTGCTGGTGCTGATACTCCGTCGGGGTCCTCTTTGGGTCCTCTTGGGGCTCTTTTGCCAGGTCTTGGGTCTTGCACCCTCTTTGGAGCCTCTCGGGGGCCCTTGAGGGCAGCATCTTGGGGATATTTTGGAGCATCGATCAAATGAGGAGGGGTTCTCGATGTGCCCCCCCCTTCAGAAGCCCTCAACATTGCATCTTGGAACCATCTTCGCGCTTTTTCCCAACCCTCCTTGGTTGGGTATTCGTTTTGAATAGAGCACTGTGGTCGCGTCCCTCCTCCTCCTCCTCCCGCCTCCCGCCTCCTCCTGCCCTCTCTTTGCCGACGATGGGGGCTGCGAACTGCGAAACGGTGGCCACTTTCGAGGGCTGCTGGTGGGTCCAGCGGAGTGAGGCACCGCGCAGATCTGAGCAAGACCTCGCCGTGCCTGGGGGGCTGCGATCTACGAAAGTGTCGCCACTTTCGAGGGCTGCTGGCGGGTCCAGCGTAGTAAGGCACCGCGCAGATCTGAGCAAGACCTCGCCGTGCCTGGGGGGCTGCGATCTGCGAAGCGGTCGCCACTTTCGAGGGCTGCTGGTGGGTCCAGCGGAGTGAGGCACCGCGCAGATCTGAGCAAGACCTCGCCGTGCCTGGGGGGCTGCGATCTGCGAAGCTGTCGCCACTTGCGAGGGCTGCTGGTGGGTCCAGCGGAGTGAGACACCGCGCAGATCTGAGCAAGACCTCGCCGTGCCTGGGGGGCTGCGATCTGCGAAACGGTCGCCACTTTCGAGGGCTGCTGGTGGGTCCAGCGGAGTGAGACACCGCGCAGATCTGAGCAAGACCTCGCCGTGCCTGGGGGGCTGCGATCTTCCCCTAAACGGTGGCCATTTTCGAGGGCTGCTGGTGGGTTCAGCGGAGTGAGACACCGCGCAGATCTGAGCAAGACCTCGCCGTGCCTGGGGGGCTGCGATCTGCGAAACGGTGGCCATTTTCGAGGGCTGCTGGTGGGTCCAGCGGAGTGAGGCACCGCGCAGATCTGAGCAAGACCTCGCCGTGCCTGGGGGGCTGCGATCTGCGAAACGGTCGCCACTTTCGAGGGCTGCTGGTGGGTCCAGCGGAGGGTGAGCACCGCCGCAGAATCTGAGCACGCCCTCGCCGTGCCGGGGGGCTTGCGATCTGCGAAGCTGTCGACACTTTCGGGGCTGTGGCGGCGGTCCAAGCGGAGGGCACTGCGCAGATCGAGGGGACCTTGCAGTCCGGAGGCCCCGATTGCGAATCGGTCGCCACTTTCGAGGCTGCTGGCGGGGTCAGCGGAGTGAGGCATGCGCAGATCTGAGCCGGACCTCGCGTCCCTGGTTGCTGCGATTGCGACACGGTCGCCCGCTTTCGAGGGGCAAATGTGGTGGGTCCAGCGGAGTGAAGCACCGCACAGATCGGAGCGGGACCTTGCCGTCCCTGAGGGGCTGCGATCTGCGAAGCTGTCGCCACTTTCGAGGGCTGCTGGTGGGTCCTGCGGAGTGAGGCACCGCGCAGATCTGAGCGGGGCCTCGCCGTCCTTGGGGGGCTGCGATCTGCGAAACGGTCGCAACTTTCGAAGGCTGGTGGCGGGTTCAGCGGAGCAAGGCACCAGGCAGATCTGAGCGAGACATCGCAATCCCTGTGGGGCTGCGAGCCTCACGAATGCGGCTTGCAGAAGTATATGCGCTCATGTCATGTCATCACCTCCGTATAACGTCTCCCAAGCTACTCATGCCCCGCATTGCGCAGGGGTTGGGTACGTCGCCAGGGTAATTTAGGGTATCTTTGGGCCCTCTTGGGGCCGTCTTGGAGCCCTCTTGGGACCCTCTTGGAGCCCTCTTGGGGCTCTCTTGGGGCTCTCTTGGGAGCCCTGGAGCGCCTCTTGGGGCCATCTTCGAGGCTATCGATTAAACGGAGGGGAGGTCCCGATCGAGGTTGCCCCCTTGGAGCCCTCACAATTCTCTCTTGGAGCCCTCTTGGGGCGCTCTTGGGGCGCTCTTGGGCGCTCTTGGGGCCGTCTTGGGGGCCTCTTGGGCCCCTCTTGGGGCCTTCTTGGGCCA